GTATCCAGAAAAGATGCCCGAGCCACCTCAACTGGCTCCTTTCGATGTCAGTTAAAAGATCATTTAAACCATAAATATTTACATTAGAATATTTTTAGAATATTTGTCATAACACGACTGATAAACACAAATAGAGAAATTTCAAAGAATAAACAGTATTCCTGTATTAAATCTAATACGGTCATAAAAGCTCCTGCTTTTAGTTGCTAAAAGTCACTTTAGGGTTAAAATGCTCAGCAGCTTCCTTCCAGATGGGGACTGCAGTTTGTTTGTTTTTTCCCCACATTACTCAAATGTAAGTTATTAGCATCATTTGTCGGAGTTTATTTTCAGGTGAATACAGATTACCTGTGCTCGGTCGAGGCTGGCTGACTACAGATCAAAATGTCAACAAAACACATAAAGAGGAGCTGAACTGAAATGTCTGTTTATGTCAACATGCAATAGGTCACACCTTAACTGATATTTGCAGATTGGAGTTGCCAGTAATTTATTATGAAAGTGGCCGATAAGGGTGCACCAGCTTGGTTTATGTGCATGCTTATTTTTCCTCATTTGATTGTTGAAGTTCTTCTTCGTTGTTAGCAGGGCAAGCTACTACTTAACACCTAATAATAACCAACAAGCAATGGTAGACCTACAAACACTCAAATGTGTATATTTATTTTAAATCTATACTACAGAGGGAGATCTCCTAGATGGAGGAAATATTCATGAGGCAGTGGTGGAGCCAAACCGAGACAATGTTGGGGAGTGAAGGTGACTGCAGAACAAGTGAAGCATTCAAGAGGAGTGTTTTTGTTTGAGGAGACTCTTTGAGTAATTGTCAGCGCGGCGGCGGCGGGTAATTATTAGTCGCATTGCTTAAAACAAATTTATCTGGCCCAGTAGACTTCTTCTGAACTCGACGCTTGCAGAGACTCGCAGCAACACATTCGCTTTACTCACAGCTGAGTAGAGGGAACACTTTGGAAACCCTTCACCCCTCCGTCGTGACTCTGCCTCAGCTGCCAGAGAAATGCCCAGAGGAGACTGTCTGATACCATAAACACCACCAAAAGAATTTAACCATGATGGATGGTGTCGGAGAGCGTCTCCACTTTGCTCAGAAACGCCGGCCCCACAATTCCCCAACTCCGAGGCATTTTCAAATCAGTAACTCATGTTCCTGAATCTGTGTACGCATTGTGCTGAATAAACCTCTCGAGTTATTTAGTACAAACTGCCTGTGCACCCCCGAAAGAATCAGGTCTGTGGGGGGTGAAAAAGTAGTTTAGCGGATTAGATGCTCTTTGTCGGAAAAGGAAAATACAGCAGCTAATGTGTGTAAGTGTGTGTGTGTCTTGGTAATGCTTAATGTGTGTGTTTAGAGACAGCCTTAGGTCTTAGGGATGGCACTGTTCAGCTACTCCCACTTTAATTGGCTGCTGGCCCCCTCAGCTTCGCTTGAATGGAGAGTCATTTAGGGACCTTTCACTCTCATAGAGGATTGTCGGTTGCCGCTGCAGGAGAAATTGCATTCCTGTTTCCATACAATGGCTGGTCTGAGTTGGAAGGGGCAAGAGTATCACTGTCATTATCATGACAATGGAAGCTAATTCCACTGCCACTAGCACCATTCTGAAACCCTCTGCAGCACCAGCTTATCAGGGGGCACCATGAGACCAGCGGGAGGCTGCGCGCATGAGGCAGAGATCCACACATACAGCGAACACTGTCTGTCAGACGCATGCACATCCACGGCTCTGTTTAGAGCAGCTGTTGCAGGCAGGAACCAACACATCAGCAAAAAAAAA